TCTCTTCTTTCTGCCTCCTGACCACCCTCTGACTTGCCCCTTACCCCTCCTCCTCGAATCTCAGCCACCTCCCAAGGTAGATTCTTAACCCTAAATTTCAAGTGTCAAGTTTCTCCCCAGTTGCTTCTCCTTTTCGGGACCCTCCCTTAACCCTCCTCCCCAGTCTCTGCTGGCCTGGGCTCTTCCCTTTTCCAGCTTCTCCTTCACATACCACCCTGCAGTCTGCCCTACAGAGGGTCACCCTGGCCCCTCAGTCCTTCTTCAACCTGCTTGCAGAAGTGCCTCTGATCCCACTCATCCCTCACGCCTTCTCCCACACAGGCACCAAGGAGAAGAGACTGTTGACAGAGCGGCTGTGTACAGTTGTGCAGGCACAAGGCACTGAGCCGAGCCACGGGCACTGAGCCAAGGGGACAAGCGTGAACTCGGACCCCGGCGTGCTCTGCTTGCCCAAGTGTTTGCTGCTGGGTGGGTCCCCCCAGGAGGAGGCCATATTTGGGCTGGCTGTGGCCATGGCGGCCTACACTGAGCCTTGCTCTTCCGTGCAGGGGAAGCTGGGGTTGTATGTCTGGGATGACAGGGCTGGGGACAGAGTCCTTAGAGCGCTGGACGCCTTCCCCCGGCTTAGCTCCTCAGGAGCCAGACAAGCGAGGGTCAGCTCTTGCTGCTTCCTCCCAATGGGGGTGGGAGACGCTGTCAGCAGCACCCACTCTTGGCTGTCATAGTTCTAGGGCCTCCATTGGACTCCGGGGTCACAGTCTGGTCCCAGAGGCTTGTCTTTGTCCTCCTGGGAGGACACCAGCTCTCGCCAGCAGGAGGCGCTCTGACGCCCGGGGATGGTTCTAAGCCCTCTACCCTTTTTTGACGCCCTGAGCCCACAGATCTTACGGAAGAAGATAAAATAATAGAATTTTTTAATAAATTTTTTTCCCAAACAACTTCTGTTGATCTTCACCACACGGGGCACGGTGGAGAGGAAAGTTCTCTCCAGGCACCCTAAAAAGTGTCCAGGGTAGACTTCGGAGAAAAGTATTCCTCCAGTGTCGGGAGGTTCAGGGGGGCTAAGATAAGCAGGGGCCCAGGGTTAGCCTGGCCCCGACGGAGGCATCCCTCCAAAGGGCTCCGCGGTGGGGCTCCCTCCCGGGAGCCTCCAAAGGCTCTGCTGGTGGAAGATGCTTTGCAAGGCCCCTCTCGAGTCCACGGTGGGTCCTGGAGAAGCGGCTGCCTGGGGTGCCCCACCCCAGCCTGGGGATGGGGCCCAGTTAGTGGTCAGAGTTGGGACCAGGGCTGGGCCACCGGACACTCCGTCCTGGGTTGCCTCGAGGCAGCAGCCCGGGAGGCCTGAAGAGGCAGCGGGTTGTCCCGCCCGAGGGGAGCTGGGAGGGGCCCGGAGGGCGGCAAGGCCAGGGGGCGGGGCGGGGCCAGAGCCGCCGCTGGGCTGGGAGGCCCGGGGTGCGGCCGGCCGCTGTCCTCTCCAGTCTCAGCACCGCAGTCAGAGGTGGTGGGGCGCCAGGAGCAAGAGGCAAAGCAGAGGCGTGGGGAGTCCCGCCGAGAGCGCCGGGCCGCGTGAGTCCGGGGACGCGCGGCAGGCCGCCCCGGGGCACGTCTGCTCCCCTCGCTGGTCTTCGCCCCCGTAGCCCCCCCAGTAGTCGTCCTCCGTGGGCGCGTCCCCGCCCTGGCGTCCCCGCGGGTCCTCGGCGGGCAGGTCTCGGTAGAGGGTGGACGGGTCGGCGGGGGGCGCCCCCGCCTCGGCCACCCCCACCCCGTACAGGTGGTTGGAGGAGCTGTTGCCGCGCGCGCGGCTGCCGGGCCGCGTGGGGGCCGCGGGCGGGCAGGCCTGGAAGTCGGCCTCGCGGAGGGTGCGCAGGTCCCGGCCCTGGCGCTCGGGCGGGGTGGCGCAGGTCACGTCGGAGCTGGACACGCGCGCGCGCTGGAACCAGGCCCAGAGCGGCCGCGCGCGGCAGTCGCACGCCCAGGGGTTGGCGTTGAGCCGCAGGAACTCGAGCGCGGGCAGGTCGGCCAGCGCCTCGCCGGGCAGCGAGGCCAGGCTGTTGTTGAACAGGTAGAGGATGGTGAGGCGGCTGAGGCCCCGGAAGGCCGCGCGATGCACGCCCTGCAGCCGGTTCCCGTGCAGCAGCAGCCGGTCCAGGCTGCCCAGGCCGCGGAACACGTGCTCCGTGAGCAGCCGCAGGCGGTTCCCGTGCAGGAAGAGGTGGCTCAGGTTGGCCAGGTCCGCGAACAGGTCATCCTGGAGCAAGGGGAGAGAAGAGTGGTCTTGAGACCTGGCGTGGTAGGGACGGAGAAGGGAGGGAAGCATGGGGTGGAAAGCTTGACCTTTGCATTCCTAGAGTCCTGGGTTCGAATCCTACCTCCTCGACCCTACTGAGAGAGGTTAGGGTCGAAAAAGCATTAGAGGTGAGGCCAGGGGTCCTTAAAACATCAGGGTCCAACAGAACCCCTGGCCGAGCCCTGAGTTTGGCCCCCAGAATTGCTGATTCAACAGGCCTGGGGTGGGGGCTGCCTATCTTTGCAAGGTCACAGGTGCAGCTGATGCACTTGGGTGAAGGAAAACCTCTGGTTGGGTTTGGCCAGGTTAGGCTATCTGTGAGAGGTGAAGGGCAAGTCAACCATACTGGATGTCATGGCCAGCCAGCCCTTGGCCTCACCGCTCGTCTCATCTGGAAAATGGGGGCGAGTGCCCTTCCTCGTGGATTTGTTCTAAAGGAGACAGTCACATAGAGGGCGCACGTGAAGGGCTGGGCACCGACTCCGTCCAGCTGGCTCTCAGCCCAGCTGTGTGACCCTGGTAAGTTACCTAGCCTCAGCTGGCCTCAGGTTCCTCGGTCATGGTCACTGAGGAAGGGTGAGATGCTGCTGAGGAGACAGGACCGGGAGGACACAGAAAGGACTGGCTGTGGTTATTGTGACCACAGGACTTGGAGTCAGGTCCTGTCCTGACACTTTTCCTCTAACAGCCACTGTCTCTGGGGCCCCAAAAGGCTCCTGGTTAGGTGGGAGACTAGGGGCACCAGGTGTCTTTTCCAGCGCTTAGTGGGGTGGTCCTGCCTGACCTGTCCAGAATCAGGGAGCCTTTGAGTCAGCTCATGTGAGGGCTGGAAGGCCTTTGAACTGGGGTTCAGAAGGAATGGGGTGGGGCTGCCCCATGGCAGGAGGGGCAGGGAGCCAGACTCTGCATTTTAACCCCTTCACCAAGGGGCCGCTGCTGACCAGCCAGATTTGGGAGTCCATCAGCCCAGAGCACTTCTTAGAAAGGACAGTAGTGGCACTGAAGAGATGCACTGCCCGCGGAGGGCCCAATCCAGGGCCGGGTGCTCTCCTAGATGCAGGGCGTCGCGGCGGCCAGTGGGCCCAGGGGCCCAGGAGCTCTGCTCCTTGGGGTACCAGTATCCTCTCCGCTCACCCCAGCAGGGTCCGAGTTCCTGGCTCTGTCTCTCCTACCCTTCCCAGCCTGGAGAGTTGCTTCCCACCCCCACCCCCAGCCTGATCAGAGGCTCTGGGGGGGGGGAGGGCGTTGACTCCCAGCCCACACCCACGGCCTCCACCTTCCTGTGCTCCTGCGTGTTCTCGCCCCCTCCCATCTGGCTTCCGCCCTCTTTGCTACAGGAACTGAGCTTGCCAAGAGCCCTCCTCTTGGCCACATTGAGATCCATCCCCCTCAACCTTCTCGCTGCCTCTGACACCAGCCTTCACCGCCCCACACCCAGCTCAGGTTCCTGTGAGCTTTCTGGTCGGTGACTTCAGCCTGGGCCCACATGGCCGGGACCCTTGTCTTCTCCCTGGCCCCCCAGTCGGCTCTGAATCTTTGCCAAGAAGCACTACCTTAGAGCTTCTCTCTTATACGGGACATTGGCAAGGGTGGAGCACACCAGGGATGTCTGTCTGGGGGGGGGGCTCCAGGGACGAGAGAGCAAAGGTCACCAGCATCTGGGGTGCTGGGGAGGGAAGGCCAAAGTTCAGAGGCCCTAGGAACTCACCCACAGGCCCAGTTTTGGGGTTACAGGATTGCTTGATACCAGCTTCACCTCCATCCCTTTTGTCTCTACAAAAATCCTCCACCTTCCCTCTTGAGCCTCAGCCTGGGGGTCCGTTCCCCCACCACACACACACACACACACACACACATACACACACACACACACACACACACCTCGAAGGTGTTGCCAAATGCCGCTGCCACTTTCTGGGTAGCAGCTCTCAAATCCGGTCCTTCCTCTCCATCCTGAAAAACCATTCTCTGTGCATTAATAAGCTCTTGCTTTCACAGCCCTCCCCCACCCCAACTTCCCCCTCCCTCCGGGCTGAGTCTGCTAAAGTCATCCTCTTCCATTTCCAAACCGCATTTCCCTCACCTCTCCCAGTCGGTTCACAGCTCTCTGCATCCATTTGGAACCCCAGTACAGCATCCCCGCCCCCTTCCCCAGACAGCATCCTGTCCTAACCTTGCCTCCGCCCAACCTCCCTGCTCTAGTCCCTGGCACCATTCGAACCAGCTATTGGGCTGTGTGACCTTGGGCAGTTGCAGGCACCTCTCTGAGCCTCAGATTTTTCCATCTATGAAACAAGGGACTCAAAATAGTTGATCTATTAAGAGCCATCCTCATCTGATATTTATGAGTAAGGGAGTCCTGGAATGGACCTCATTCATTCACCAAATCCGTGCTGAGTGAGCTTGGTGCCAGGCACCCCCACTCAATGCTCACCCTCTGGGGGGTGTCGTCATCAGCACGGCGTCAGTGCCATCGAGCAGCAGACTTCCCGAGCTGTCACAGTGGGCCAAGAGGCGGCTGTTATCACGGCGCCCCCTCAAGACCTCAGGGCAGGGGCTCAGGGAAGGCCCCTGGCCTCCAGCAAAGCTGGAGAGTCCTTGCACACAGACTCTGGAGATGGGGCTGCGGGCAGGAGTCCCCTCAACCGGCCCGCTCTGTGCCCCTGCGTGGCTGAGCTCCCTGGTGCTGCGCTAACCTGAGGGTCTCAGCTGGGGGCACCAGGTTGGTTGTGCCGAACCCTTTTCAAAGAGCTACTCCTTTAACCCTCACGGCCACCCCCAGGCCCAGGTCTTCTCCATTTTATGAATGGGTAGTGGTAGTCGGGCTCAGGGAGGGGAAGTGACGTGCCCAGAGCCACAGAGCGGATCTGCCTGGTGGCAGAAGCAGCTGTCCGACCCGCTGGCCCATGCGCGGCGCGAAGACCGAGCACAGAAAGCGTCTCTATCATCTGCGCTGTGGGCCAGCAGGGGCAGTTTCTGTTTACGCCGCATCCCTGGCACCCGGCACGCTGCCTGGCCTGTAGTAGATGCTCAATAAATATCTGTTGGTGAAGGAACCCACCTGGCACAGTGCCTAGCAAGCAGCAGACACTCCGTGACAATCTCACCCCAACCCGGTTCCGTTTCTTTCTGCTACATTCTGGCTCAGTGCCTCCTCCAAAGCCCCCTCCCGGGGACAGGCCTGGCTCCGTCGTGGGTCACACCTGCCTTCTGTGGCGCTCACCCCGGCCTGCATGCTTCCTTGCCTGCTCATGCAGCAACCTGCCTACTCCTGCCAGTGGCTCACAGGCCGAGGCCAGTCTCTTTCTGCTCTGGAAAGGGCCAGGGATGAAGCTGTGCCTTCCCGGGCTGCCTGGTCCCGTCACACAGGCAGCGTGTGGGACAGACACCTCCCGGCTGGGAAGACCCTAGGGAACTCGGTGCCCCTGCCCGCGTCAGGCCCGCCAGGCCTGGAGGTCGGGTCCCAGGGACGGGGCGTAGCGCGTGGCCTTTCCATACACCAACTCACCCTCCACAGTCACTCTCGGCGGAAGGTATCATTTTTTATTACTCCTATTTTTAAAAGGAGGAAACAGGTTCAGGCGGGGAAGCCACACGCCTAAAAGCCAGTCAGTCTAAAAGTCAAAAAGAACAATAGTGGAGGGACCCAAACTCAGGGCCTCTGACCTCAGAGTCCTCATTCTGAACAACTAATGAGTATCGATAAGGAGGTCAGAGGCCGGGCGCCTGGCAGGGATGAGGATCATCATAGTGACAGTGTCTATAGAATGAGTGTGGCTTAGATGCAATCCTTCCAAGGCTTCTTAGTTAAGTATTACTTAGTGAGTTCGGTCACAGTTGCCATTTTGGAGCTTGAGAGAGATTAAGTAATTTCTCCAAGTCTTATAACAGCTGGGATTTCACTCTGGGTCTGCCAGCTCAGAAGCGTATCCTTGCCAGCACTTTGCCTGGCCCCTAGACCCACCTCATGGAGGGCTGTGAGTGATGAGTGGCCCCTGGGATTTCCGCCCCATGTCCCCACGGCCAGGTGGGGTGTCCCTCCTGCCAGGCTGTGGCTGAGTCACCAGGCAAATCTAGGAAGAAACGACCTAGACCCGTGACCTCGGTATAATCCTGGAAGTTGACCCAAATCTCCAGGAGGGGGTCCAGTCGGGCCATTTCACCAAGGCCAGTGTTAAATGAGGCAGGTTTCTTTCTTTGAAATCGAATCGAAGCAGCATTTATAGCGTGCTTACGGTATGCCAAACACTATTCTAAGTGCTGGCAAATTATTCATGCCCTTAGCGCTCATCCCTAGCAGACCAGAGCTCGCTTACCCTCATTGTACAGATGGGAAAACTGAGGCTCAGGGAGACAGCAAAGGTCACAGGTTTCTAACTGGTGGCACCCACCCCGGCGGCTCCTCAGCACAGCCTGACACTGTGGCCGCCGGCTGGGGGGCTGGTGGCAACAACACTATTCGTGCCACAGTAACACGCTGCACGTTTGTCCCACGCACTGTGTCTTTCCTCCTTGGTCCACTCCAGGGTGCCTGCTCCATGGAGGCAGGTGCTGGGTCTGCTCGCTCAGGCCTGCATCCCCCGCACAGCACCTACTGGGGGCTCTGTCATAGCGGCTAGCTTATTACTGTACTCTTTCTATTTCCAGGGTCCACAGTGAGCCGCTGTTCAAACCAGCCCTGGGTGACCAGGCAGGCAGCGGCCCTGGGTAGGGGGAGGAAGGGTTTTCTAGGTTGTGTGTGGGGGGACGATCAGGCCGTCCAGTCCCTTAGGAGCTAGAAGGTGTACTCACAGGAGGACTTTCTCCCAGCGTGGTTGGGAGGGAGTATTATTGTTTCCTAGGGAAATAGAACGGGAGGCTTTGACTGTCAAACAGTCAGCATAATAACACAATAAACAATATTTAGATCAATAATAATAACAATAAATAGCAATTACTGTTATTCTTTCCATTGTCAGAACATCCTTTTCCCAGCTACTTAACAGCTTTTAACTCTTTTCCCCCCCTTTTTTCTCTGCACTGAGATGGCAGGTTTGGGGGACAGGAATCGAGGAAGGTGGGGTCTCCCTTGCCTTACTGCCTGGTGGTAAAGCTGGGCACCAGATGCAGTGACCCTGCTGTCTGGTTCTGCTCCCCCCTGATGTGGCGGACCTGGGGGGATTGCTGAGAAGAGCAGCCACAGAGGTCCTGGGAAAAGCAGAGTCCCCCGAAGGCAAACCAGGGAAGGAGAGATCAGAAAGAGACGTACATACACCCAGACAGACATGGGGGTGTGTGTGGAGCGGGCGTGTGAAGGGAGACAGACAGAAGAGGCAGGAGACAGATGGGGGAGGCAAGTTAGCCAGAGAGGCAGGGAGGGACAGGAGCGGACAGACAGAGGTGGAGGGACAGGGGGTGGGTCGGGGGTGAGAGGGTGGGGGGCGGCGAGCTCATCAGAGAGAGGCAGCCAAGGACCCAAACAGGTGTAGACAGACAGAAGGACAGAGGAAGAGAGTCAGCACAGAAGCCCCTGGGGAAAGTGAGAGGGACAGAAAGTTAGAGAAAGGGCAGAGAAGAGATTTTGAGGCAGGCAGGGAGGCCTGGGGAGAGGGGGGCACAGGACAGAGAAGCCTGTGCGCCGTGTGTGTGTGTGTGTGTGTGTGTGTGTGAGTGTGTGTGTGAGAGACTGTGTGGGTGAGTATGGGTGATGAGTGAGTGTGTGTGTGATGAGTGTGAGTGTGGTGAGTGAGTGTGAGTGTGATGAGTGTGATGAGTGAGTGTGTGTGAGTGTGATGCATGTGAGTGTGATGAGTGTGTGATAGATGAGTGAGTGTGATGAGTGTGAGTGTGATGAGTGAGTGAGAGTGTGATGAGTGAGTGTGTGAGTGTGATGAGTGTGTGTGATGCATGCGTGAGTGAGTGTGTGTGATGCATGAGTGAGTGAGTGAGTGTGTGTGATGCATGAGTGAGTGTGTAAATGTGACAAGTGAGTGAGCGTGTGTGATGCACGAGTGAGTGAGTGAGTGAG